CGCTGCCCTTCTTTTTTTGACAACGTGCCATATACTGGGCGCTTTTTATTAAGAAACTTTGCCCGTACAGCCACAAGTTTTTGCGCTAAACTTGAAGCAATCAGATCGCTAACTCTATAAATGGTTGTTGCTTTACATTTAACTTGTGCACTCATTGCTGTAAATCACCGTAAGTTTTACATAAGGGGAAATGAATAATTTCCATGAGTGCTGAACTGGCTATTTTGGTCCAAGTTGCCATTTTTCTACCAAGACTTTCATGCAACTATACGCAACAGCCACGTGTGCACAGAAGCTGATTTTGCAATCTTTATATGTATGTTTGTAGTGTTGGAACTAGAATGACTGGCCGACATTTTACAGTTCAGCACGTGGACTCATGTTGGCTGCGTTGTAATTTAACATATTTTAGCCTTTTCTTGCATGCAAAGGGAAAAAGGCGTCGGTTGGGGCGGTAGTTTTGCATCACATGGCTGCATGAAATCTTAAATAACAGCACAATGAATACAATAAATTTATTCGATGGTCGGTCGTTCATCAAGCTCAGGTATACCAAGGAGTTAGATTATGCTTGGGTGGGGGAAAATCTCCTTAAATTAGTTTCCTAGCTTTTCTGGCTCCCAAGTCATCAGATCTCATGTCGAAATCTTCATGTGTGAGCATGTGAGACTCGTGCATGCTAAGGAACTAAATTTGAAATCTTTTTGGTCGCACACGAGTAGGGAACAACCCCTTAAAATTTCAGCCTTGTAGCTTCTCTTGTTCCCGAGTTAGCAGTTTTCCCGCTAAAATTTCCACGTCTTCATACGTGAGATGCACAAATGCGCGGAAGCTGATATCAAGTGCCTGGGGTCGCACTTGGCCAGGGGACAGCAAAGAAGCAAAAAAACTGGGATAGGCCAATATTTTGTTATAAAATTTCATATTAGTTTATGCTAAGAAGTCCCAGTCGGTAAGGTATTTCTCGTCGCTCAGGAGCGCTAACTTTCGGCACAAGGCGGTAATGACAAACTGGTACAAGCAAAGCCTTGCCAAGCGCTTCAGTAAGGACAACCACCAAACTGGCAGACACTCCAGGAAACGAAAACAGTCAGGATCGACAACTTGCTGATCTATAACATGACGTAACATAAGTCTAAGTAACTGAAGGTTACCAGCTGCATAGATGAAAAGTTATAAAATAAAGCCTGGTCCAGTGGACTTGTGCAAGACATAAGCTAATTTTCGTCCAATTTTTTAGACGAAATACTACGTTCACTGCCGGCGGCTGTCACGTATCAGTCAATATTACGGGCAATCTTGTTAAATTATCGTACGACTGGCGGCTCTATAGAAAATGTCTTG